ATAGATAGATAGATAGATAGATAGATAGATATTTTCCACTGGCAAATAAATAGATCATTTATTTAAAAGAAATAATACACAAGAGAAAATAATGGACTGAACGTTAATAGAGGTGAGGTGTAAGGGGGGCTATAAAGTATGTCTCATATATATGCCACCTTTGACAATTGCTAATTAGTGTCACATCTGAACCTATTTGAACCTCTCACTCTTCAATCAAAACACAAAATGTGAATATAGTGAGGGTGTAAGTGTCATGTGTTCACAAATAACTTAAGACTCAACCAAGAAGGGTTATTTGACACAAGAAATAATTTGTATTTGAGGATAATTCAATTTAATAGTTAAAATGTTCCTTCACCAATGATCACAGACTCTGATTTATCCATAACCTTCTATCTGGGAATTATTTTACATGGTTTTACTCATTAACAACAGAAAGATCAACCCTGGACACATAAAGGAGAAGGTATTTATTGCTTTCCAGGTTCTGATAAAACATGTTTTGAACTTACGGTAGAGGCAAGTAAATAATAAGAACTACTGACAGAAATATCTGAAGAATGGAAGTTTTAATTTAAACTTAGAATGTGCAGATATTAAGCAAATATCTTCCTGTTTTTTACAGTTAATATTCTATCTGAAGACCTTTAATGATATTTATTTGTTATTTTTTCTATAATATTTAAATAAATATATTTAATCACTGAAATATTAGGTTGATACTGCATGACTGTTTCATATTCTTATGAGAAACGATTATAAACAAACTTTCACACGCAGCTGCCCTTCATGAAAAATGTTACATTTTTAGTGTTTAAAAAGATGGGAAAATGTAATAAATTTTCACATTCAAAAACTCCCTGGACGTTGTATAATATTTAAAGATATCGCTAGTTTGATTTCTTTTATTTCTCTGCGGTGTGTTTTAACAAATGAAAATTAAGAGTCACCTTTCTGAAAAGTGCATGAATACTTTGTGGTAAAAGGAAGTGTTAATGCTTCAATAATATTAGTCTATTTTCTACTTAGATCAGAGGAACTTAAAATAGAGTCAGAATAAGGACTACATCTTAAAATTATTATTACAATTTTTCCACACATTACTGGAAAAACACAAAATAGAACATAAAAACACATATAAAAATAGTCAAATCAACAGAAACCGATACTTTGCAACATTTCCATCAACACACTTAATTTCCTGCAACTGTGAAGACGCTGAATATTCTATGGTGTGACACAATTTAAAAAATTATAAAGAGAATTATATATTAAGAGAATGTACGTGAAACAAATCCAGATGGCCTGGTGTGAGACTGACAACCCAAATAAAAGTTCTGCTTTATGACAGACAGGAGAGAAGAGAGGGAAGGAATGAAAGATAAAATAGAGAGAGGCTTTCCATGGCAACACACACACACACTCCCTCTTCTACTCCACTGCAGCAACATGTCCACAGCAACATCTGAATCTACAAATGCATTCTGTGCCTCCGTCACCTCCATGCAGTCTATGTACTCATGGATTTAGAGGAATGAACGAGAGAGAGAGAGAGAGAGAGAGAGAGAGAGAGAGACGGGAGGGGGAGAGAAGGTGCAATTTATGATTGCAGCGTCTAATTCTTCATGGCAAAGCAATTTTGTTTCATTCTGCCTCTCGTCCCTCCGATTCCATCTGGTTCTTTCTCTTTCTCTCTCTCTTGACTGCAACAGTGGTAAAACACACACACACACACACACACACACACACACAAGAAACATCTGGTGGCACAAGGTTGCCCACAGCCAAACAGATTTGCAGAGCGCACATATGAGAGAACCAAAAAATAATAAAATAAAAACCCAAGATCTTATGCTGCTTTCTTTTCAAATGTTTGCCTTCTCTTTCCTAAACAATTGTTTCATACACACACAGATTTATATACTTACATGCATGTGCACATAGTGAGGAACCTACCCTGGATCAAAGCAGAGATCCCACATAGAGTGAAAGCCAAAGAGTGCCACATTCCAGGAGATATGAAGGAAAAGCAGGGCAGAAAAACAGGAATATGTTCGGATATGGAAAGAGGAGAAGGAAATATCCTGATGGAGTGAAGGAGAGGAGAGGAAAGCAAGAGCTGGCTTGATGCAAGCAGTGGACAGAATAAATGTGGAAGAGAGAGAGGAGGAGGAGAGAGAGAGAGAGAGAGAGAGAGAGAGAGAGAGAGACTACCCGTGATGTCGGCAAATCGCAGCAAGTGAGAGAAAAGGGGAAAAAAAGACCTGATTGATTTGAGACTCACAAGTCAGCTTTCTCTCCACCCAAATCTCTGAGATTCCCTAAGAAGGACAGATGAATGAGAAGGAGGATTGGGAACACAAAGGGAGGGAGATCAAGGACAAAAAAGGGGAAAGGGGGAACTGATCTTCCTGTCTACATAAAATAATCACATTCGGTTAAATCCTAATCTCTTTCTTCTCTCTCTCTTTGTCCCACTTTCCTTCTCCATCATTTGTGGGTTTATAGAATCGCACAAATTCTCAAAAATGAGGCTATCATCTTCAGAAAAAGTTAAATGTGTCACAGGAGAAAAACTTTTGTTATATAAAAGATTTTCTTTTCAAAAGGTATACAGAAGCATTGCTGGATTCAGGGGTTGTATCGTTTTAATATATTATAGGCTAGGTTTGAGGTTAGTATGGCTGCATTATATTCATCAAAAATGACAGCAGCACAATTGTTTGAAACATTGTTAATAATGAGAAATGATTCTTGAGCACCAAATCAGTATATTAGAAAGATTTCTGAAGACTGGAGTATTGACTGCTAAAAAAATCATCTTTGCCATCACAGGAATCAATTCAATTTTAAAACAGAAATTAGTTTCACTGTATTTAATTTTTATCGAGAGATGAAGAGATGATGAGATGACACAAAGTATTGTGAATGAAATAGGAACACATTTAAAGTAGCCTACTAAAGAGATGTCTAAACTGATCAAAATAATTGTCTGTCCTCAACAGCGATACGATTTCGTTTTGCTACAAACCCTTGAGTTGACCAGAAACACTGTAGCTCTCCATCTGCCTCTAAAGAAGAGAAAGTAGATTCATTATATAGAAAAACTTTAATAAGACACACAACTAAAACGCTAAAACAGGTGTGTATAGCGGAAATTTGTGTAAATGTCTATTTTACGCCCATTTTCTCTTTCAACAACTGTCATGGCAGATAATTTAGACGATCAAGTCAGTTCAAGTTCCACTAAAACATCTAATCTGAGACAGTAGCCTATGTTTTATAGCAACTATTAATATACAGTATATCTATATATATATATATATATATATATACTATATACTATATATATATATATATATATATATATATATATATATATATATATATATAATTTAGTGTC